CCCTGCCGCGACATCGGACGTTGTTGCGGCTGCAAGATCTTCCGGCGACGAGTATTATATCCGCTTTACAAAGAATATCAGGCAGAATCATTACATATATAATATATTGTATGTGTCATATTATATTATGTATATTATTTAATATACGCGTTAAGATATCATTCTTTTAAATTTAGTCCTCCAATTTTAATTCGTCTACTCTTTAATTTTTAATAACTATAGTTTTAACCTTTTGGAGCTGACAATGGGTCACTCAAATATAAATCTCTTTGTTAAAAATGTCAAACAATTCAATTTTCTTTATGTCACATTAGCTCAAATTTGGATTATTCTTATTAAAATATATTTAGTATTCCTTAATCTTTTTATACCTTACATAGTTATATCATTTTGGTTCCGTGAAATTAGCTTTTTTTTAATTAACATAAATGAAATAGGTCTTACAGACCCAGCGTCAGTAATTGTGTTACAGATTTTGGCGTCAGCTCCGGAGGGTTAAATCCCAACGCTTATTTATAATAAAATTAAGTAAAAAAAATACTAAAGCAAAATAAAGCATTCTATAATGACATACTTATAATCGAGCTCTTCCGATTCGTAACTACGCTGTCTGGTAACAGTGGGTCTGTAATCCGGCCGGTGTATACCGATGCTCGAAGCCGGCCTTTGCGGAAGCGTCTTTCTGTTTCGTTTATTTTCATAATATGTATTTGTTCCCAAGAATCGTTTCCCTCCACTGTCCCATTGCCTGTCCTCGTCATCCTGACCATATCTGTAAAGAGAGAAAAAGAAACAAAGATTCAGTTTTCCCTCTAACGATTTCATCGTTTTTCTTTGTTGCATTTATTGGCGCCGTGCTTACCTCTCATCCTGATAGACGTATCCCGTTATGGTGTCGTAGTATTCGTTATACCTAATATCTGTCTCACATTCCGGATACGTGGCGCTCATTTTACCCACTCTACCATCGCTGCTATATCCATCAGCGTAATACGAATGATCGTCGTATAGAGTCATCTGTCTCTCCAAAGACGGTCTTCTGTACGGAATGGCTTAAAAAACAGGCAAAAAAACGTCATATACACTTTATTCATGACAATACATGATAGTGAATATTCAATAAAATTAAAAGCGAATGGGTATAATTAAAAATATGCAGATGCATTCAACGCATATTTTACTTATTGTCGCATAATTGAGCATAGAAATCTGAGATTCCGTGTAAAGTGTAAGGATAAAGGAGCAAAAGGAATAAATGGAAGATGAGAAGTAGAATGTGAAGAGAAAAATGCTAAAAATTTTATTAAATAATTCACAATGCATTTTTAATCAGGGTTTAATACCTTTTCCTTTCGATCTTCTTGTAGTAGTCGTCGTGTTGTTTGAATAGTATTCAGTATCGCTATAAATTCTCGTATCATCGATCCTCGTGCCATGATAATCATATGTACCCTCGCTGTACCAGCCGTCTTGGCTGAAAGCATGAGATAACGATCAAAATTTTTTGGTCACATCAAAACGAAGGAATTGAGCCGAGGATGAGATGATAAAGAACTTTTAGTTGATTTTCTTGAATGAGAGATCAGCTGCGATTACTAACTGCACCATGCAAATGCCTGTGAATTGCCTGTGAATTTAATGCATTGCTTCAACTTGTAGATTAATACATCTCCAATTTAAATAATGTATATTCTATAATATATATTTCTCTCGTAAAAATTCTTAAACTATTTTTAAGTTACAGAGACAAAGCCACGTGCAACTAAAATATAAGCCGCGTAAAACTATCAATTAAAGGCATGAGTCTCTTATTTTTCTATGTACGTCATTAAGGCAAAACGAGTGCTTGACGATGGTGGCCTACATTATAACGAACGACTCGCCCGACGTAATCACTGTTACGATCGATGTGTTTGCAATTGCATACGATTAATTGAGTGCAACGCAATCACATGCCAACGTAGTGTTGCGATAATGCACGAAGTGGTGCCGGTCGTGATATGCACGGTAAGAACAAAACATGATAAATGAAGTTGATAATCGCGTATGCATGAGTGAGTGTGTGCTGTATAGAGGTTCGCTGAAATTCTCACGAAATCGCGCGGTCGCGCTCGTACCTGTCCTCGTAATCCCACGTGTGCTTCCGTCGTCTGAATCAGGCAAGAAAATAACATAAAACGATTTTCTTCCGTCTTAATTAATGTAAACTTAACAATAAGGACTATGCGCAATTGGCGCGTAAACAGTAAAAATGCTCTACATATTTTTACTTTCGCATAAAACAGCGTCATAGATCATTACAGGAATCACTAAAATGTGTTTAGCGTTGTTCCAATATCTTTTTATTGATGTATTGCTGAATATACTAATTAGGAATTCTCGCAATCTCTCAATGCGTCTATAGTACCTGTATTCCTTGTAGTGCTTCGGTCTACTGTTATAGAAGAGTGGCTCGGAAGACTCTGAAGGATGCTGCTGGGTCTGCAAGTACCGCTGCGGTAGACCATCCTCTGGATATGGCTCGTCGTACCTCGGACTGTGGCCTGGCCCTCCGTAACTTCCGTAATTACTAGGTGCCAACCTTCCTCCGACGGTGACTGGAATCTGGCGACGTTACTCTCATATAATTTATTACCGCGTAATTAAAATGTCGCCGACGGAACAAGTGGATTAGAAAAGTCAATCATTCAAATAACATAGTGCAGTTAATTTCAAATTTTATTATTAAATAAGTTGTCATTATTGAACATTATGTCAAAAGTTTAATAACTAAATACTAATGTTTAATAACTAAATAAAGTGAGGGATAGCTTGATATCTAATACGTTTTTAAGCCTCCGGTATAAGAACTTTTCTGTCATCGATCAATACCTGATGATCATCTCTCTCGTAACTATTTTCTCTCGACGTTTCGAGGGACCTTTGAGGTGTAGCCAACTGGTTAGCCGCCGTACGAAACTGCGAGGCCGAGCTGTTCGCACCCTGCCCACCTACTGGATAATTCAAATCCGACGTGTAGTCAGAGTCCTCCGAGTATCCCGCTGAAAGATGGATTACAACTTATAGCGTATTGGGAAAAATGATCGAAGGAACTGGAGTAAAAGACTTTAGCGACGCCTGATATAAGGCCCTGACAACTTTGCATTGGGATATCGGAATCGTCGCCTCTCTTCTGCAACGTTGACGGAAATCATTTTATTTTTCCTGCGGCTGAAGAATGTTAGGAAACAAAACGCACACAACTGAAAAAAGAAAATAAAAGTCATACTTTGACCAGGCAGAAATGCAAATTATTTCTTGCTACAATCCGCTAAGTTCTATTTTTCAGGGCTGCCTATCAGAACACAAATCGTACTTTGCAAAATTTACGACGTTTACATCAGAATATCAGAATGAGTTGACGATTCACGTTCGTTTCCCTGAATAAAAGAGGTGAAGCCAATTCTTCGTCATGACCGTTTCGCAACTTTCTGCAGGCAGAATTGGTCGATATTGGTAGAATCCGGGAACTGAAGTGGTGCAATAGCAGGAAGCAAGATAAGTATAGTTAACAGCCATGCGACAAATTGATCGTCATGTAGACACCGTTCCGATTTTTTTTTTTTTTTTCTTAGGTCTCTCGTGTGTGTCTTCTTATTTTCCAGAAATTAGGACCGGTAGGAATGCAAATCATCGTACGGAGGGTATTATGGAACGTTTGCAAGAACATAGAACGAAAAGGCTAGACACCGATTTATTTAGTACAGAAAGAGAGCTAGTCTGCTTGCTGCATGCCTTCTCATAGCTGTTACACGGGCAAGGGGTTGCTAGAAAGGGTGTAACAACTGGGTGGTAAGTTACCGACGATACGTCGATAGCCGATAACACATATGAAAATGGCGTCTTGTGTGCCTGTTTTCTCCAGGGTATATCACGCTACATACTCTCCGTGGGTAAAACACGCGGCGTACGGTTGCCAATTGTAAAATAGGAACCAGCACGGAACCAAATTGATTTCTCGCATGGAAAAACAAGGGCGTAAAAGTTTTATGACTTACTCGGAAGTAGCGTTCAAGCGAACGACCTAGAAAGCCACGGTTTCTAAAAATACTGCAAGTATGTCAGACGACCCGACGTGTGGATGAAAGTGTCGTGTGACGTAGGCTGCAGCAAATTAGCGCTCGCGATGTAAAATATTACAACGTTACCGCATGACAATCGATCTTCTCGCGCATCATGTTTTTTTTTCTCCTCGAAGAAACAAAAAGAAAGTGTAACGGTGGTAAAGATAATATAGAAGTGTTGCAAGTAGTACGAATGCATTATAAATCAGTCGCGCTAAGTTCATAGACAGTGAAAAATACGCGTACAATAAAATTGGAATTAAAATAATCGAATATCTGCAGTTTTATTTTATTACTTTAACTTTATCAAAAAAAATCGATACGTGATTTCTTGCATTCATGGCTAACATCGGAAGACGTATACTCGGATTCGTCGCGAATGAAATTTCCACGGGAGAAAGGAAAATCAATTCTCGTGCATATCGCGAACGAGCGTGCCGGATCGGAGACGAAATCGATCGGGGACTGGTTTCTCTCGCGCCGTAAAGAGCAATTTGAATAAGATATCAGCCATCTAAACTGTAACTTGACTGTACTTACAGTGGCCTATATTGTACAATATCTGCCTTCGTGCCTGTTCGGCCCGCGCCTCCTGGTCCATCATGTTGTTCAGCATTTCCAGCTTCCTCTGCAGATCGGCCGCATCCGCGTTCTCGGCGTCTTTCGAAAAGATAGATATCGATAGGGAAACAGTTAATCGCGAGTCTCGATAGTCTCGACGTCTTCAATCGATTTTGTCATCCTAAATTTACTTAGATACGTACTTAGTTCACGTGAAAAAGAAAAGATGACTAAGTATAAACTGCATGTATCGTGTGTCTACAACGTTTCGCTAGTATATCTAACGAGCTCGCGATCAAAACAACTGTACAAGAACTTTACACTTTGACAAAATGTTACTTATGATCCCTTACATAATCTTGTGACTGTTTTTTTTTTCTAATTTAACTGATAAAGTATCAGAAACGCGTCCGTTTGTCGTACTCGGGTGTACACATTGCTCGAAATTGCGCGAATCTCAGTAAGTGGTCTAGAAAGAGCAATCCACCTCGTTAGATTACTCTGTATAAATAATATCAACTCTCAGCGTTATCCTACTCCGAGGAGGGTTTGCAAACTTTATCAAACTGCGACAACGCGCGACTCGCCGCTTCCAGAGAGCTCAGACCGATTTATTACGCGACTACCTCACGAGCTACTCCATTCCAGCCAACAATTTTACTACTCAGACAACGTTAAAAGATACTCCCCGATGGGGAAAGAAAAGGACCACCATCCCTGGCGTTTACTACACGCGCGCACTGAGTGCATCAGTTTCTCGTCCCACCATCGCGCTTTCCGTCCGGTCCCTAAGGACAGTCTGCTGCTTAACTAGCACTTCGATCGGCTACTTAAAACGTGGTGGACGTCTGGATGAAAGTACCATCGCTACTCTTACTCTAAAATGAAGTACGTTTCAACCGCATGAAATATCTTTTATATTTTTCTCATGACATTTTACAATTTTAATCATTATACGCAAGTAAGAAAATGCTCTTTTTGATCATTACAGGTTGTCTTTTCGCTTGGGAAATAATTAGATGTCGCAATAACGCGATTTCAGCACACGTCCTTTGCATTTCGTTTCTTTACAGACTTTATGAGTGCGGCTCCTTTGCGTAATTTCTGTTGAAACTTAAACACAACCCGTCACTGTATAAAGAACGTGATTCCTAGTGTCGTTTCCTATTTACTTTTCTGCAATTAAAAAAAGGGTCAAGCCCTAGAGAAGAGCGGGTCATCTCGCGAGGGCCGTCTGCTTTCCTTTGAGAACTGTCAGCCGTTGCCGGCTCAAGTTTTGGTCCTACCTCAACCTCGGCGGTATATATCTCCACCCCTTCGGTGACCCTCGTTATCCGCCCTACAACCGCAGCCGGAGGCTTTTTCACTCGCCTTGCGCGCCGACTCCGTCGTCTCCTCCGCAAACACGAAGAAAAAAAAATAATAAGAGAGAAAAAAGGCATATCCAGCTGAGTGTCGTAACGCGAGAATTGGAAAAGGTATCTTGCACTTTCAACACGTCTCCCTGCTGTCGCGTATTCCCGGCTGGACCGGCGGAATAAATGTAATGTCGTAACCGTAGACGTTGGTAATGGCGTAACAGTAACAGCTGGCCACCCGTATATTGACAAACTTTTAGAGACAACCGTGACGCTAATCGCGAAAAGCGGTCTTCTCTTCCTTACTCCGAAAGTGTTTCCTCTATTTCTGCTCCCCTCGCTATTTTCCTTCTTCCTTTGTCAGACGTCACTCACCCTCGAGTGGCTAAATTAAGGACGTTGGTATCGATATCGCGGTCGAATATAATTGGAGATGAGAGTTCATGTACTGTATAGTTTTATATAGAGAATGCCTTTCGTATGTGCTTTTTCTCTCATCCTTTCATTATTTATATTATCCGCTAAATGTATTTTGTTATACGCGTTGTTTTGTTAATTGTAAAATATGATTCGCGTATTTCTCTTAGAAATTCGTCTTTGATTCCGTGCACAATTATGGCAGAGCGACCTTCCGGAAGGAGAACCGTAGCAACCGTACTTCTCGTAGATTCTCAAAGAAATGAAATAAATTTTACACAATAGAGAGCGCCGAAACCGTAGTTCCCACCCTCTTCGTGTTCTCTCGGCGCTTGAAGGAATTATACCACGTTACCGTGCTTCTCAAGCAGATTCTATTGATTCTTTAGCGACTTAAAGAATCGCTTCAGCTAACTTGAAATAGGCATTTGACGTCCCACTGGTAAAACGATTGAAAAGATTTTCCATGTCAATATAAAACATCTGAAGAAATACTCGAAATATTCTCTGACATCTCATCGTCATTATGCAATTATGGAGTATAATAAAAAAAGATGTTATTTATAACAAATTTCAATAGTTTTTAGTAATTCATTTCAGAATTCAGAGCGATACATATTGTTGAATTAATATTAAATGTTCAGAAATTTATTATTCATCTCATTTTAACAGAATTAAATTCATTATATTGCTATCATAAATATATCTAAATAATTAATTATCCACTATATCATGAATCTTAAGGTACGGAATTGCCTGGAATAACACCAAAAGTGAATTCTTATATTTCGTTCTAAACGGGTCGCCTTATATACACCGACAAGCGACACAGGTGACGATTTACTGCCGAGTTAAATCTCCGGAAGGTCGTCTTCGTTCTACTCATCACCCCTCGTCGCTTTTATCTCTAACCTCGTATATCCGGTCTACCTTTTCGTGTTCGGCCACGTACATGACTGGACGGAAACATGGAATTAGTCCATTTTAAATAACACGAAATAACAAATAATTAATTGTCTTTCAAATTATCAGCCTAATATACATATATTACATATATTTAT